ACAGAACAGCAAATATACAATTATAGTAGCATATCAAACAGTATTGAAGTAAAGCACATTTAAAATTATGAGTGGAAAGAAAGTCATTTTCTAATAAAGGGAGTTTTTTATTTTCACAAATATTTGAAACTGCAGCTGCCTTTGAAACAGGAAAGGAAAAAGCAGAGTATGCCTATATGTTGATCCCAGTATTCAACACCAACTCCTTATTAGTTCTTTAGCTAAGCTTGCTGCAAACAATTCAGAAAAGCAGTCATAGGGAATCCCATTTATATATGCAGAAATATGTAATGGACAGTGATTATTGAAGTGGAGTGGTTAGAGTTGTAGATGGACCTGAAGAGGCAGACAAAGAGAAAGCAGCCACAGTGTATCTGATACACTGAACGTCAACCAGAAACGCTGAACTGACAGTTGAAACACACCTGCAACAAACTCCAGCTGTAAATATGGTCAGTGTGTAGTTCAGATGTTGATAATGGGTTAAGGTAGACAGATTATTGCATGTGTAAAATTCCAAATGCAAATATCCAGCATGTTCAAAAGAACAAATTTTCATGGATAACCAGTTTTCCTTATTACTACACCTTTTTTCCCCTGAAATTATACTTCTTTTCCTGAAAACTGAAAGTTGTAAAGATTGTTCTCTTTCTTCACATTCTTTTCAGCACAAATCCATTTTAAGATGCTATAGATTCCTAACTTAGTTTAACTCCTTTGCACATGCTATTCATTTTCAAACTTCAGTTTTGAACAACTGTAGTCTAATAGAGATTAAGCATATTTTAGAATGAAAATGTGCCACTTTACCAAATAATACAGATTTTCTATGGAACAGAGAATGAAGGTCCATCCATGTGTACGATCACACTTTGCCTGGGTCAGACAAGTCACATGCTTAATACGTTTTCAAAAATGCCACTCCCGACTCAGCACATGCACAGTCACACAGAAACATACACACATCCAAATCCATCCTTCATGCAAAATGACTATGTCTCACGTATTAAAGGAAGTATATTTTCTATTGGGTATTTTTTGTTCTTTTTTTTCCATTTATTTTATTAGTTGGAGGCTAATTACTTTACAACATTGCAGTGGTTTTTGTCATACATTGAAATGAATTAGCCATGGATTTACATGTATCTATTGGGTATTTTTTATGTATTTTACTAATGTTTGAGTATGAGTTGTTGTTCCTTTTATAAATAATATATAGAATTTAGAAAAAACATGGTGAGAAATGATAGAATTTAGAATATGCAAAGAGAGTAGACCTTTTTTTCCCATTTATTTTTATTAGAGTAGACATTTAAGTATCTGAAGAGAATGTCTCAGATCATACATTTCAATACATTGGGAGGTTACTTTTTCCTTCCCAATTAAATGCAAGGACATTACATCAATATGTTTTGAGTATCTTTAGATTTTCAAAATATCATTCTGAATTGATGGTATCTCAGTGTGAGGTTTTCAGGATTTAGCCTGGCAGCTAACATGAGGAAACTAAATTATTCTGGATCTTATTATCCAAGCAAACTAGTTACCAACAGTTTATGCTATAAACCTGTGTGTAAAACACAGAGAAGAATGTGGTCTATCTTCCTTTCTATGGGGAGCCTTTTTAGGAGGACTTGTGGTGTCAACCAGTAGTGAGCCCCTGCTGAGGAAAGCAGGGTTTTCTATCAACATGTCATCTAATGAAAAGGAAAGATCCTTCATAATCTAGATTTTAAGTCCTGCAACTCTAAAGCATGGCCAAGTATCTTTTTATTTCCTTTTCCCCCAACTGGCTCAAAAATTAGCTAAGGAAAAATCTTGTTAAGGTAGAATTTAGAAATAATGTTTCAGAAGGAAATAGAGATTCATAAAGAAATATAAATTCAGATAGAATAATCAGATAGAAAACTAGAGTAAATGTTTTGTGACACAACAGGAATTGGATAAAGCACAGGGTTTTGAGAACAGCATGTTTTAATGTTTGAAACCAGTCTTTCTGAGGTGACTATGAAAGCAAGAAATACTACAACAAATAACTATGGATGCACATTATATACTTGATGATCTCCCACACGATAATATCTGCGTTATCATTTACACCTCTTAGTGCTAGCGCAGCATTCTGAAGTTTCCAAGCATAAGTTGTATGCAACTGAGTAGAAAGATGAAAATTAGCTCAGATTTCCAGAAGAGCTGGTTTTTCCTGGTGGCTCAGCTTGTAAAGAATCCACCTGCAATGCAGGAGACCTGGGTTTGATCCCTGGGTTGGGAAGATCCCATGGAGAAATAAAAATACTGGATCGTACCCAAGCCACATCTGCAGAAACTGAAATCCATTCCATTGTGAACATGTTGAATTTTAAAAGGTGCTTTTATTGTTGTTGAAAGTATGGATTTTAATGGCATTTTAATAATCCTTTGAAATGTGCTACTGCTCAGTGCAAAAAAAAAAAAAATGAGTGATACCAGTTCTTCAACTATAAGGTGTATTTTGCAAAAATAAGACATATCTTCATTTTGTAGGTCGATATTAATAATGGTCCTGATGTAACTGGTGCATAAAGACTCATTTGCTTCCTGGAAAGGAAAAGAAAGGTAAGTACTTACCAGAAAGCCATGGAAAAATGAAACAGGTAATGTTTAAATTCTGTATACTGAAGGTGTCATTTTTTCTAGTAATTAGCCCAATTTCTCAAGCTGGAGAGAAAAATTCTGTGATGCACTTCATGGATAAAGCAATTATTTTCCCATTCCAGGGAACATGGAAGGTTCCTTTCCAGCTCTTAAGAGCTGCACACAATCAGATAAGGAGGGTCACTCATTAAGTCCACTCTACATGAGCGTTTCCACTCCTTGCTGTCCCTTCAGAGCATCCTCCGTTTAGTGTGTATGTACTACTACTTTAGAATAGACTGTTGGCATATTCTGTTTGTGATCCATTGAGTAAAACCACACCTTCACTCTCCCATCTTTGCTCTATTCCCTCTAGTACATCCATCTCCTTATTTTTCAATTATCTATAAATCTTCCAAAAGGCATAATTATTGTGATATTCAAAACTGAGCCTTGTTTAAGAAAATCTATTATCTGTGATTCTTCTAAATCTAGTAAATAAATTAATCTACATAGAAAAATTTTCTTCTCTATCTGTAAAGAAAAAAATATGTTATTGTGTAAAGAGCAGTAATTTTTCCTTATTACAATCAGATGTTAAGGGAAACCAGTATATTAATACATGTTGAGAAAGGAACTCTGGGAAGTTTTCAGCCTTTCACCTTCATATAGCCAGGTACAGACCATGATAACTGATGTTCAGGGCTAAGCACTGATGTAATTGCTCATGTAGTTTCAATAGAGAACAATATAGAAAAAAATTGACCACTATTGCACTACATTTTGAAAAGCATGTTTTTCCACTTGAACAAACTTTTATTATGTTTTAATTTTTCAGTGGATGATGTTTTTGTTTATTATATAAATTTTCTGGGTTACTTTGTTTAATCATAACTCATTTGTTATTAGACTGATGACAGGTCTTAAAGGTGATGCAATATATCCTTTATGTGTTATGATGTGAGTGTATTAGTTTAGCATTTTGAATACATTCTTATCAAATGGATTGTAGGCAGAATTGTTCCATCTTCTTTTTAGTAAGTAGTGACAGAAATCAGAAGAAAGATTGAGGTGCCTTCTTAGGCTCAAACTCAAAATCTCAATCCCCCAAAAAAATATTGGTCCAAATTTTCCACTTCATTTTTTTTTGACACTCACTTTGACTGATATCACACTTTGAAAATGGACAGTTTTGCTCTGTTTAAATTTCTGACTTTATGAAATGACTCCATAATTTACAATGGATGCTAATGAATCCTTGCTTATTGGAAACTCATAAAATATTATTCGGGAATAGCTGTGATAATTTGTGTAAAATAGTTACCATGACTTTGGCACATACTAAAAGCTCAGTAATTATCAGTAGCAGCTACAGAATTTCTACATAAGACAGCTTAAAATCCACAGTTGGATTGGAAGCATATAGCAAGAAGACTTGTTTTAAATTATAGTTTTTTATAGCAAGTATATTGCTTTAACTTTGATTGTATATATTTTTTGATGTTCCTGGAAAGATGGCAGATAGGAACTATGGGTCATACCTATGCCATGTATGATTATTAAAGAAAGGTTTAGGGAAGATACAATCAGGCATTTATTCCTCTATGTACAAGAGGGCATGTGCAGTAGTATCTAACACACAGAAGCTTAAAACACCTCTACAGTTTTTGCCAAAACTCAAATCTGTCTGTATTTATCTGATTTTTCCTGTAAACTCTGAGTAAGTTAATTTTACTGTGTCAAACATTGTTTGTCTTTTGTTTACTTGTACTGTTATATTCAATTTAAGCTCATGTATTGTAATCATTCATTAGGACTTCCACATTACATATTTGTGTTGCACATTGTGATTTCGGATAGCATGTATATATGCAACAATCCTGTTTATATTAATATGCTATTTTCATTTTAAAGTGGCATATTTTATCTTATTTTATCTCTATCATTTATTGAGTTTTAATTTCTCATTAATTTTTAGCTTATTTACTTTTCCTTTTTATTTTCTTTTCCGTTATAAATTCCAGTCTCCCCAAATATCTACCATTTTCAATTTTACATAAATTTCCTTAGTTATCTGTTAATTAGCTGTAATTTTAATATAATTAACTAGCTAGAAATAAGAAAAAGTACATATATAGCTTTTGTGCAATATTCTTTGTCACACGATGTGTGACAATTTCCTATTTTAGCCCATTCCCCCCAGATTCATTGATGTTTTAATTTTCATTAAGCATCAAAACTTCAAGAATGTATCAGAAACGATAGTTGGCCAGATATGTGCAGTAATATTTACAACCTAACTTGTAACCCATTTTTGATGAAATAGTGAGTAATATATAAATGAATGTTACTAAAGCCATATATATATTGTTATATATTTTACTTACTTATTTTGCATTCTTCAATCTACATGCACAGTATGATATTGTAAAAGTGATAAACATCACTGCACCAACACTCATTAAGATCATTTCTACCAGGCCAAGGAGGTTTATTTTTCCAGTCACTTGATTTCTGAACTTTTCTGCCTTCTCATCACCAATAGTGGCAGTCTGCAATCAAGATAACTATTAGCATTATTTCATTTCATTAGCTTATTAACAAGTTACTCAAAACTCTCCACTTTTATATCAGTCCTTTTTCAAAATACTGTGTTAGTTATCTATAAGACAAGCCAATGAAAGTCCTTTTGCATATCAAAGAAGGCAATAAATGTCAAGATTGAATATTTAGAAAGAGAAATACAATTTTCCTCCCTTGAACATGTTATATGCACTGACTTTATTGATCTATACAACAGTCTTATGGAAATATCTTTGTTTTCCAAAGGATGTTTGCTAGTGACAGAGAGAAATGGCAAAGGTCAACAATTTCTTTCCTCTAAAGATTTCTGCAGTGCTTTTCCTAATTCTGTGGTTAATGGACTCCATGATTTGTACTAAAAATATCTTGTCAGGCACTTGGATAGACTGCTGACTATCTACTCTTACTTGGTCATTATAAGCTTGACTTGCTTTTATTAGCACTGCAATATTCACAGTGAGTTCTTGGAGTTGCATATATCCATGCCTCTTTCCTAGCACAAGCAGTATACAAGAAAAATGTTTTCTAGTCATATTATGAAAATAATATAAAATTATAGGAAGTACTTCATTTTTCCAGAAATAAAAGCACTGGAAATTAATGTAAAACTTGATATTTCTGTGTAGCCTGGTTCCTGAAAATATTTATATATTTAATAATATATAAACTCTCTCATATAAGTAATGGAAGCATATACACCTTCAAATTCTATACATGTATATTCTGTTTTCAAACATTGAAAGCTTTTTCTATGTAGGAAGTTTATCATTTTTGGTGACTAATAGATAAAAATACTAACCTCATTAAGCCAAAGAATAGGCACCAAATAGTTGTGCTTCAGACCCTTTAATGCTCTGTAATAAACATTGAAAATAATTATGAAAATATATACTAATATAATAAAAATATTTAATACAAATGTTAGTAACTGCTAGTGTAAATAAGTGTTCAGAAATTTCTGAACATTTTAAAAAATTCTAAAAAATTACATTCTAAAAAATTACAAATTACTAAGTTTCTTGACTTTTTGTTCCCTGTAATGAATCATTTAAATTTTAATATGTCTGTTTCTCAGATATCTTTCATTCTTATAAATCTTTCTAATACAGGTTTCTAACTAGATTGACTTTTTGTAAGTGTATATTTTCCCTTTTGACAATTTATACCCAGTAAACTTGAATTGTAAAAACAATTGTTATGGAAATATTTGGACAGCTAGCAAGATGAGCAGTGTCACCAAATACTAATTCCAGAATATGTATAAATGCCATTTGAATATGTACTAGATATAATTCTAAATTATAGATAAAAATTATAAGCATTTAGTAATGATTTCATGATATTAAGCCAAGGAGAAGTTTTAATTTTATACTATTTCCATTTAATTTCATACATGTACTCACTTTCTGACAAAAAAATTCTAAAAATTTAATGAACCTGTTTGAGACTCACACAATATTTTTTGCTGGCTTAACTAGTATGTTGATCTGCAGCCGTTGTGCAAATTGTAAAGTGAATCCCGTTATCTAAAAAAAGAGAAACTAAAATAATCACCAACTTCTTTTAAGTAATTCATTTATAATATGCAAAATTTTGTTACAGAAACTAAGGTGAAACTGTAGTACTTAAAACGTATGAAATTAATTAATTAATTAATGGAACATATTAAATATTATGTACATAAAACTTCATAATTGAATTTTATGTATATATGCATGAGTATATACACACATGTGTATATATGCACGCACACACACACACACACAATTTCTTTGCCCAGACTACTGTCAAGGTTTTAGTTAGATTCGTGATATTTATCTGAATTGGTTTTGGGAAATTAACAATAGTAGTGAAATCTAGAACTCATATAGTCAGTTTAAATCCTGAACTATATATGGTCTAAAATATATTCAGTCAGAACCCATGTATCATCAGTATAATTACAGCATTACTTCTAGTATTATTTAAAATGAAATGTGGCTATTAAAATTCTGGCATACCATTTAACTTTTGAAAAGGAGAGTATTTGAAATAAATTAAAAATTGAAACTGTTACAGTATAGGAAACTTAATAGATTTTTCTTAATGCTAAGTATAACATATCTTGCTTTAAATGCACATATACCCAAGAAATCTTTTAGTTCCTTGTAATCTACAGTGCCCCTTCATATAAGTAATATTCACAGTTAAGTATAAAATGAGCATGAAATTGTAATTTATACTAAATTGTTTTAATTCAGTTAGAATCATATCTATCATTTCTATTCATGCATTATGAACAATTAAAAATGCTTATAAAACTTTATATGTTGCAAAACTAAAATAGAATTACTTTGGCATTTCATAAGCAACAATAGGAAGACAACCAACATTATTTTCCTTGAAGCAAAAGTAAGTAAATATACACACGTCACTCTATGTAGAATAGATAACCAATAAGAGCCTACTATATACCACAGGGAATTACACTCAGTATTTTTTAATAAGGGAAAAGAATCTGAAATATATATCTATATATATATGTAATATATATATATAAGTATATACACATATATATATAAATATGACTAAACCACTTTGCTATACACCTGCAATTATATGGCATTGTAAATCAACTATAATTCACTAAAAAATCAATTTATCTAGATTGTGATGTAATAAATATGATCAATAAATGTGATTAACAGAAAGAAGAGAATTTAATTTTTCAGTAAAATGTAATAAACCAATCAGATCAATAATATATTTGCTTACAGGTTCAACATCTAAGTATGTGCTATGTTCCTCTTCATTTGGACTTAAGCCTTCAATAGGTTCTGCAATTTCAGGACTTGCATGTAGAAAATGAGGACGTGAAATGTACACAGGTTTTCCTGAAAACAGTGTTCAAGAAACATTTGGGATAAATTGTTTTCCTCATTTCACATAGCACTCAGAAAAGATTTCCTTGAAAATAAAGCTTTTTAACTTAAAAAGAAAAAGAAAAAGAAACACAGAGTTGCTTTGAATAGAAATTGAGGGATAAGGGTGAGGGAAAAGTATCACATCTGATCACTTTTGACCAAAAATAAAACATAAACTTCTGTTGTTCATCCCTTAAGTGTTTATTTTCAATATATAAAGCTTAGCTACTGAACACAAAGTTATTAATACAACCATATACCTTCATGTTTCAGACAGTAGTATGTCTTTGAGAATTTATTTAAGAGGCTTTCTTTATTATCACCTACTCGCTTTTCTTTCTTTATTCTCACCTACTCCAACATGAAGAAGGTGAGCAAAATGAGAGAGACTCCCAATTTATTGATTGAATAAACTTTTGTTTCAGAGACATCTTGAAATATGCTTACTTTTATTTACCATTTCCTAGGGTAAAAAAAGTTAGAAAAATGTCAGATAAATTAGGATGCTCAGAGTATTCTGGGAATTATTTTCATTTTGCTTTATATCTGAAAGGAGCAGAGATTCTGCACAGAAAAGGAAACCATCAAAAATGAAAGGCTGCCTATGGAATGGGAGAAAATATTTGCAAAACACATGATTAACATCCAAAATACACAAGGAATTCACACAACTGAAAAAATAACACAATTAAAAAATGAGCATAGGACCTAAAGAGACATTTTCCAAAGTAGTTCAGGGAAGTATCAGTGTGGTTTTATCTAAACAAAGTTTTGCAACACGGAAACAACTGGGACCTTGAAAGTGGGACAAAATTAAAAGAAAAAAAAAAACCCTACTATTACACTTACTTTCTGCCCTTACTACTTTCTCACTTTAGATTTCTGGTAGAAAAGGAATCCTGAGTGAAGTTTACATTTTAAAGAATATTGCAGATTAGGCCATGAATTGTGACATGAGAACTTTTGCATACCTTCTTTGCATTTGCTAATATCTAGCACACCATATAAGGTGCAATCCTTGGAGATAATTTTTTCTGTGCAGAAACAATGGTTGTCTGGATTTTGAAGTGGAGATGCAAAAACCCTGGATGGAAGAACAAATCTATACACAGGGATTCCTTTTAGATTAATTTCGGCTCCAAACACAGCATAAAATGACCTAAACACAGATAAGAAAGAGCTTCATTTGGGGAACCTCAACTTCATTCTGGAGATTCTTTTTTTTTTTTTCCTTATTTTAAAATTTATATTATTGCTTTAAATTAGAAAAGCTGGATATAATCTTGTTAGAATTCTTGCTTAATTCCCTAGAAAAAAAGTTCTTGTGATCCTCTGTCCATGGAATTCTTTCAGGCAAGAATACTGTGGTGGGTAGCCCTTCCTTTCTCAGGGCATCTTCCCACCCCAGGGATCAAACCCGTCTCCTGCATCGCAGGCAGATTCGTCACTGTCTGAGCCACAGGGAAGCCCATTGTAAGACACACCAGGGCTCACTACCTTAGTATGAACTATTTTTACCTTTGTTTTCAAACTCTCCTGAGAATAATTGTTGTTTCAGAATTACTATGGAGTAGTTATATTGAAGGTATTTTCAGAGCTAGTTTCTAATATTTATGTGACTGGGCTTCCCTTGTGGCTCAGATGGTAAAAAGTCTGCTTGCAGTGCAGGAGACCTGGGTTTGATCCCTGGGTGGGGAAGATCCCCTGGAGGAGGAAGTGGTGATCTACTCCAGTTTTCTTGCCTGAAGAATTCCCTGGACAGAGGGCGACAATCCATGAGGTTGCAAAAAAGTTTCACATTCTTTTTCAGATTCTTTTCCATTATAGGTTATTACAAGATATTGAGTATCGTTCCCTGTGGTTTACACTAGGACCTTGTTGTTTATTTTATATAGAATAGTATGTCTATGTTAATTCCAGACTCCTAGTTTATCCCTCTTCCACTTTCACCTTTGGCAACTGTCAGTTGATTTTAAATGTTTGTGAAACTGTTTACATTTTGTAAATGAGTTTATTTGTACCATTTTTTAAGATTCCACATATAAGTGATATCATATTTGTCTTTCTCTGACTTACTTCACTTACTATGGTAATCTGTAGATTCATCCATGTTCTTGTAAATGGCATTGTTTCATTCTTTTTATGACTTGAGTAATGATCCATTGTATATATATACCAGGTCTTCTTTATCCATTCATCTGTTAATAGGCATTTAGGTTGCTTGCATATCTCGCCTGTTATAAATAGTGCTGCTAAGAAATTGGGGTGCATATACCTTTTCTAATTAGAGTTTTTGTCTTTCTGGGTATATGTTCAGGAGTAAGATTGCTGGCAACTCTATTTTGTTTTTCAGGAACCTCCATTCTGTTTTCCATGATTGCTGCACCAATTTACAGTCTCATCAACAGTATAGAAGGGTTCCTTTTCCTCCACATCCTCTCCAGAATTTATTATTTATAGATGCTTTGATGATGGTCATTCTGACTGGTGTGAAGTGATACCTCACTGCAGTTTTGATTTGCATTTCTCCGATAATTAGCAATGTAGAATATTTTTTTCACATGCCTGTTAGTCATCTGTATGTCTTCTTTGGAGAAATGTCTATTTAGGTCTTTGGCCCATTTTTTGATTGGGTGGTGGTTGTTTTGATATTGAGCTGTGTCAGCTGTTTGTATCTCTTGGAGACTAAGCCCTTTTGAGTTTGTTTCTGAATAATTTTTCCCAGTCTGTAAGTCCTTTTTAGATTTTGTTTATGGTTTCCTTTGCTATGCAAAAGCTTGTGAGTTTTATTAGGTCCTATCTGTTTGGTTTTGCTTTTACTTCTATTGCCCTGGGACAGTAACCTGAGAAAACATTGCTACTATTTATGTCTGAGAATATTTTGCCTAGGTCCTTTTCTAGGAGTTTTACGGTGTTGTTTCTTATATTTAGGTTTTTAGGCCATTTTGCATTTATTTTTGTGTATATTGTGTGTGTGTGTTCTAGATAAGTTAGTTTGTTTCAGATTTTTCTTATTTTTGAGGAAGATCTGTATTGCTATAAGCATCCCTCTTATGACTGCAGTTGCTGCGTCTCATAGATTTTGTTTGGTTATATTTTCATTGTCATTAGTCTCAAGGTATTTCTAATTTCCTCTTTGATTTTGTCATAGATCTTTTTTTTTCTTTTTTTATTAGCATGTTGTTTAGTCTCCATGTAATCATTTTTTCTCATTTCTCTTTTTGTGGTTGATTTCTAGTTTTATGCCATTGTGGTCATAAAAGATGCTTAAAGTAATTTCTAAGCATCTTAGAAATTATTACATTTGTTTGGGCTTATTATATGTCTTGGTATGTGGTCTAACTTTAGAATGTTCCATGTGCACTTGAAAGGAATACACAGTAGTCTGGTTATCTTAGGATGTAATGTTCTAAAAATATCAATTAAGTGTAATTGCACTGTTGTGTCAGTTAGTATCTCTGTTGCCTTATTGATTTTCTGTAAGAACAGTCTGTTTCTTGATGTCTATAACGATGCTGTGAAGACACTGAGAATGAGGCTGCTCTGGTGGAGCCATGCCCTACCTTTTACTAGTTTAGCAAAAGAAAGACAATGCCTTGCTTAGAAATGAAAAAGTAGAAAATGATTTGCATTATGCAAAATATTCTTCTACAACTTTCAATTTTTTAAAAAGCTTAATAACATATTATGAATTCTATATTTATTTTTTAATACATCAAGAAAAACTTCCTAGAGAATGTATTTTATTTTTCTCCAATACTGTGATTATTAAATATGAACTGAGTCTGTGTTTTGTAACTTGTTGAAAGAGTTCTGACTTACAGAACTATATCAGTGACTTTGTCTTACCTGCAAATGTCAGAGGAAAAGAATTGTAGTACTCGATTCTTCTCAATGAAAGGTGGAAATGTGGCTCCGTCTATTTAGAAATCAAGCCAATTGCAAGGGATTAGGTGGAGTATGTGTCCTAGAAAAATCTAGAAATCTTGATTTCAGCTTGGTTAAGAGAAATATAATGCAAACTGTACATATAACATTGATATTCTCCAGTAGTCACATTTTAAAAATAAAGCAAGTATCAAGTATATTTTATCTCACCCACCATATCCAAAATATAATTTTAACTTGTAATCAACATAATAATTAACAAAACTCCAGATCTAATATTTACTTACAGCCTATCTTCATTTGTAATGGCTGCTTAAGTGTGAATATGGCTAGTAGCTACCATATTCAGCAAGTCTGTATACTATACACATTCACTGGTATCCATTCATATTAACTTTTCCTACTCCTTAAAAATAAAATTTAAAATGTGTACAATGGCAAAACCGCATGTTGTTAAAACTGTGAATGTGTTTATTTTTTGAAATCCCCACCATATATGTAGAGTAGCACTTTTCTTACCTTGAGGTTCATTTGGAACTCCTGTTTGGTAAATGTTGTTCTTACTTTAAATAGTGATTCATTCATCTGCCCTAACAGCAGATTAATATTTTTAAGTCATGTATTGAATTCTCTCACTAAATAGAATTTCCTGAATGTGGTTGAGGAAAGCACACATGAAACTAAAAAGGACATTTGCTGAGTTTATTGTATCTCTGCTGTGGTTATGAGGACTTCCCAGGTGGTTCAGTGGTAAAGAATCTGTCTGCCAACTAAGATATGTGGATCCAATCCCTAGGTCAGGAAGACCCTGTGGAGAAGGAAATGGTAACCCACTCCTGGGAAATCCCATGGACAGAGGAGCCTGGCAGGCTACAGTTCATAGGATTGCAAAGAGTTGGACACAACTTAGCAAGTGAACACTATAGTTATAATCCATGGCACACAGTGGATATAAGAAGAAATAGCTAGATAGTTCCTCCATTTATTCCACAAATGCATATCAGCAAAATGAGCCACCACTGAATGTGTTTGTTCAAAACAGCAAAACCAATCCTTCAGTTATGAATACATGCTCTTTTTTGGCACCTGTGCTAACCTTGTGATCTTATTTCATTACCCTTACACTCTTATGATAAGTGAAATACAACAGATGATCACAGTGAATTAGATTATGGTATTGAGAGAATGGAATATTGAAAATTAGCTTAAATTCCCAAGATTGTTCCTGAATGGGCATTGTCTATGACTGCCTTCCTAACACCTTAGTCATAAAAGGAAAGAATGCATTGAAAATCTTTTTAAAAATCATATGAAATATCATTGAAGATTATGTCATAGAGACCAGCAGTTACAGTGGGTCATGATCATAAGATGACTGATGTTAGCCCGGCTCTCTTTCTTTAATACATGTAAATCAGATGTAAATCAATATAATCAGTTTATGTCTCTTTAAGTTTGTTACAGAAGGTCGAGGAAGTACTTCAAAATCATGATTAAAACTCCTTAGAGCCTTTTCATTTGTCTCTTTTCCTAGTGCTATAACCAAGAATCTGTTTCACAGGGTTTCATCAGAGACCCTGGCCTGTACAATCAACCTTTGCTCCTAGTTTATTTTACTGCTATTTTCTTCTTACTTTTTAACTTTGTGCCTGGTGCTCATGTATTTATGTTATTATCATTAATAAGTCCTCTACCTCCTTTTAAAAAAAATGTCTTTGTTTCTTAGTTTTGGACGAAAAATGTTTAATATTTTTTCTTAAATCCATGAAGACCCCTTTGCTATTTAAGAGAAGCACAGAATATTTCAACTTCCCAGGTGGCTCAGTGGTAAAGAATCTGCCTGCAATCCAGACGATACAGGTTTGATCCCTGGATCAGGAAGATCCCCTGGAGAAGGAAATGGCAACCCACTCCAGTATTCTAGCCTGGGAAATCCCATAGACAGAGGAACCTGGTGGGCTACAGTCCATGGGGTCGCAAGAGAGTCAGATAGAATTTAATGACTAAACAACAGTATATTTCTGTCTGTACCTGAGGGTACAGTATGAAGTTTGTGCTTATGAAATTACTAGAGTTAGTGGTATTGGTACACTTGACAATTTACTGGCAGAAAGAACTACTTAGAAAGGAATTTCTTCATATACTTCCTAACTCAAAGTGCACTACAAAGCAAAGTTAATAATGGTTTTGCTGTTTTTTTCTATGAAAGTTAAAAATTAAGGAAAGTAGAAAATTAAGTAAACATGCAAAACTCATCAGCACATTTGGAAAAGTAAACATTTCCCATGTTTGCTTTTTATTCCCTACCTTTTATCTAATTTTGTATTTAACATTTTTCATCTTTATTATATAACTTTCCTATAAAGTATTGCCTAACTGACTTTATAAACATTATATTGTTCTTCGGGGCTTCCCTAATAGCTCAGTTGGTAAAGAATCCGCCTGCAATGCCGGAGACCCCCGTTCGATTCTTGGGTTGGGAGAATTCCCCAGAGAAGAGATAGGATACTACCCACTGCAGTAGTCTTGAGCTTGCCTGGTGACTCAGCTGGCAAAGAACGTGCCTGCAATACGGGAGACCTGGGTTCAATCCCTGGGTTGGGAAGATCCCCTGGAGAAGGGAACAGCTACCCATTCCAGTATTCTGGCCTGGAGAATTCCATGGACTGTATAGTCCATGGGGTCACAAAGAGTCAGGCATGACTGACTCTCACTTTCTACTTCTTAGCAACTGAAAGCTCACTTCATGGCATTTGATTCACCTAGCTTTTTATAATTGTACTTCTTCAACTAGTAGGCACATATTTGCTTTGCTTCAAGGAGAATAATAAACTGGATCTAACCATACTCTAAATCTAAGTACATAGTACTTTTTCCTAACTCTAATTCAGAATGTTCAATTTTGCATACATTTCTCATGGTTAGGGTACAGGTAACCTTATTTTTGTTGCCGTTGTCCTTTTCTCTGTCTTTCTGACCATCTTATTCAAAATAGAGCTCTGCTTGAAAGTTCACTGATTCTACTTCAGCTTGAAGGCTTTGGAGGCATAACTTACCTTTTGTAATTATGTTGAGATTTTAATTCTTTCCATTTTAAATGATTATCTATACAGTATTTACAAGAGGTGTAACCACTACTCTCAACTTCTCTAATGTTTTATTTCTGTGGTCAGGAAGGAATTTATTACATGTGTACAAAGCAAATGTTTCCCCAGAATGAAGTAAAGGCTCATCCTTGATGGCTTATTTTGAGAAATTTCATCACATTACACATGCATTTACTAAGCCTACAGAAAAATAGAGACTCTGAATTACGTTGTAGGGATACAGAGATATGTAAACGCATAACCTCAACTCCCAGAACATTGTCGATATGGAAGTGGATTTTTGGGAGAAAGCGGTTGGTTTCACTGTGATTATTACCACAAACCATATGCTCTTTTGGGCTTCCCTGGAGGCTAAAGAATCTGTAAAGACGGTAAAGAATCTGCCTGCGATGTAGGCGACTCGGATTCGATCCCTGAGTCAGGGATATCCCCTGTAGAAGGGAATGGTTACCCATTCCAGTATTCTTGCCTGGACAGTTCTTTGGACAGAGGTTGCCGTCCATGGGGTTGCAAAGAGTTGGACCAGACTAAGTGACTAACACTTTCTTTTTCACTTTCATATACTCTTACCTGTACCATTAATCATGCCACAATAACTTGGCCAATAGGAGAGATGCCTTAGGAATAAAAAGAAAAAAAGAAAATGATCACCTTTCTCACACCACTTTTTCTATTATGATTCAGTAAGTCTGATAAAATAATAACTATTGATTAGCCTGGATGTGACAAATTTTAAGTTTGAGAAATGTTTTAAGCCATTTCGCCTATGTTTTGCTTGAAGTCTGCATCTTGTTGAGATAAAGGAAGTGCCTGAAACCATTAAGTGACCAGATTATAAAAGAAAAACTGCCAAATGTTGTTAATTAGAAACAACAGGGAACAGAAACAGTTCTGCAAAAAGAAACTTGAGAAATACTTGTCTGAAATTTTGACCTTTTAGGAGAAAGTTCCCCACCTAGGGAGAAATGGATTATTTGATAGTATGTTTTATTCACACTGAATAGGATGAAGATATTAAATGGTTAACTGATATAAACTCAGTATGAAGGATAAGAAGGGAGTGTGGAGGAGGAAAGAAAGAGAAGCATATGTTGGACAATAGAAATTAGAAACATGGATAATCAATTTATACGTTCCATTTCTTTTAACTCTTGTGTGTACTGGCATTTAAATAGGACAAAGTTTATTAATTTATACTCTGGTACCTACATAAATTTTATGTGTGTGTATATATATATATATATTTATATATGGAAGCAATGAAAACAATAGTGGTGATAGTTTCTCTGCACACTCAGACACTTTTTGGTGATGGAAAATGAGTTTTTCACACTCCTCACATATCATCCAGTAAGATACCAAGGCACGTTGTTGCTTCTTTTTTAAACAGAATAAGCTGCTCAGCCTGCCATGTTTAGTCTTGCCATAGTCAGTTAAATTAACTTGTCCTAATCTCAAACTCTTGTGAAATTCTTACTCTAATTAGGAGCACTTAGTAATTCTCCTCAAAACCTCTCTCTAATATTGAAATGGAAGCAATGCTCACTGTCCTCCATATGCAAACACCGATGTGATTCCCCTAAAATGAGCATTTAGAAGTGTTTCTTTTTTTCTCCATTAGACTTTTCTATTAAAAAAAAATGTGATTATGGTCTCTGTAGGATTACATAAGTATTTAACTGTTTTATGCAATTTTTTAAATAAGAACTCAGTGTCACATAATGGTTAATCTATAAAAATATTTCATCTCTTTTGATTTTGATTACTTTATTCTTTGTCAGGAAATCACTGATTTAAAACTCATTTTAACTTTGAAAAGAAAATTCTGTCTCCCTTCATGTTTATTGAAGTTCTTCCTATTTTAGACATATGATGAATTAGGTGTACTCCAGATAAATAGGCAGGAGTTAGGGAAAAGTAGGAAATCATGGCTGTATGAACACCTCATTGTAGTACTGCTTCGCAGGAGGTGTGCTTTTTATTTTTCAAGTTTAATATGTCAGTTTTAGAACAGGAAATAATAATTCCATTTTGTGTTGATAAATATTTTAAAAAACTAAGTTATCAATAAAATCATTTCAAGAAAATTTTGAAAGGAAAAGTCATGAAAGCATTGGCATGGATTCATTAAGCTGCCATATTTATAGATATACTTTGTCATGTCCTTGGAATGAGCAGTGTTTATATTTCATGCTCAGTAAAAAATAAAACATCAGTAAGATATACTGGATGCTAAAATGATGAGTTGACATATTGAGTTTCTTCCTTTTCATTTGCAGTTATGTAATTTTAGGGTGTATGATAATACCAGTTATGCAGCAGAGATGGAAGTAGTGCCTTTAGATTTCTTTATGTAAGAAAACTTGTTCATCAAGATCAATCCTCCAGTGGGGCTGATTCTCAGCAGCTATGCACTAGTGTGATGAGTTGTCACAACTAAAGGGTTAGTGCCTGATAGATCAGGAGTTTCTAGGGCTGAGATACAGGCAGCTCTGTTCCATAGGTTCATGCCTGTGCCTTACCAGTTGGTAAATAAGTTTCTTGTCTGCCTTAGAGTAGCCTAGTCACACACACACACAGACACACACACATTGCTTGAATACTTACTTTTTGCCTTTGTATGTGTCAATTCTGGCAACTTTGCTTATGTCGTCTTTTCCACTGAAAACTTTATAAACTCCATCTGCAGTGTTGTTGTACTGAAGAGATTCATACAAGAAAAAATTACTTCTAAAACAAGTCATGCTTTCCAAATTATAAAATATGTAATTGACTCACTTTTGCATTTCTCAGACACTGGTTGTTCACAACTATTTAATGTGATTTGAAATATATAAGCAAATAAATTTTTACAATTACTGATTTTTAGTATTTTTATAAAAACAAGATATAAAAGGTGCCTAGAAACAAGTGCTAGATGCTGAGCCAAAGGAAGAAAACATATCAGAAGCTGACATGATCCAACTCCACTACTCTTTGTTGTAATTAAGCCAGAAGGTCATTTTGATTACTAGTCCTGTTATATTGAGGTGAGAGGATAGGGAACAAATGCTATGAGACCATGTCATATTTCTAGAAATTTTCTCTATGTTATGATCTTTAAAAGTGGTTACTAAAGATTAGATGGGCTTCCCAGGTGGTACTAGTGGTAAAGAACCTGCCTGCCAATGCAGGAGATGTAAGGAGAGGCAGGTTTGATCCCTGGGTCAGGAAGATCCCCTGGAGAAGGGAATCTTGTCTTCTTGTCTGGAGAATCCCATGAACAGAGGAGCCTGGTGGGCTACAGTCCATGGGGTCACAGTAAAACATGACAGAAGTGACTTAGCACGCATGCAAGCACACAAAGATAAAATTGTTGTTGTTGTTCAGCCACCCAGTTGTGTCCAACCCTTTGTGACACCATGGACTACAGCACACCAGGCCTCCTTGTCACTCACTCATCTCCCCAAGTTTGCCCAAGTTCATGTCCATTGCATTGGTGATGCCATCCAGCCATCTCATCCTCTAATACCCTCTTCTCCATCTGCCCTCAACTGTTCCCAGCATCAGGGACTTTTCCAATGAGTCAGCTGTTGGCATCAGATGACCAAAATATTGGAGTTTCAGCTTTAGCATCCATCCTTCCAAAGAGTATTCAGGGTTGATTTCCCTTAAGGTTGACTAGTTTGATCTCTTTGCTGTTCAAAGGACTTACAGGAGTCTTCTCCAGCACCATAGTTGAAAGGTATCAATTCTTTGGCATTCTGCCTTCTTTACAATCCAGCTCTCACAACTGTACATGACTACTGGGAAGATCATAGCCTTGACTATACAGACTCTTGTAGCAGAGTAATGTCTCTGCTTTTCTACACACTATGTTTGTCATAGCGTTCCTGCCAGGAAGCAATCACCTTCTGATTTCATGGTTGCAGTCACTGCCTGCCTTGATTTTAGAGTCCAAGAAGAGGAAATCTGTCACTACTTCCACTTTTCCCCCTTATATTGCCATGGAGGAATGGGGCTGGATGTCATGATCTTGTTGTTTTTTTTTAATATTTAGTTTTAAGCCAGCTCTTTTACTCTTTCACCCTCATTGAAAGGGTCTTAGTTCCTCTTCACTTTCTGCCATTTAGAGTGGTATCATCCACATATCTAAGATTGTTGATATTTCTCCCTCCTATCTTGATTCCAGCTTGTGGAATCCAGCCTGGCATTTCTCATGATGTGCTCAGTGTATAGGTTAAACAAACAGGGTAACAGCAGACAGCCCCATCATACTCCTTTTTCGATCTTGAACCGGTTCATCAGTTGTTCTATACAGGGTTCTAACTGTGGCTTCTTGACCCCCATCCAGGTTTCTCAGGACAGGTAAGATGGTCTGGTATTGCCATCTGTTTAAGAATTTTCCACGGTTTATTGTGATCCACACAGTCAAAGGCTGGAGCACAGTCAGTGAAGCAGAAGAAGATGTTTTTCTGGAATTCCCTAGCTTTCTCTAGGTTCCAGTGAATATTGGCCATTTGATCTCTGGTTCCCTTCCTTTTCTAAACCAGCTTGGGCATCTGGAAGTTCTTGGTTCACATAATGCTGAAGCCTAGCATGCAAGATTTCAAGCATGACCTTACTAGCACGGGAGATGAGCGCGTGAGATAGTCTGATAGTTAGCACGTTCTTTAGTTAGCTCCTTCTTGGGAACTGGGATGAAGATTGACCTTTTCCAGCCCTTTGGCCACTGCTAGGTCTTCCAGATTTGCTGACATATTGAATGCAACACCTTGATGGCATCATCCTTTAGGGTTTTGAATAGTTCTGCTGGCATCCATCACATCCACTAGCTTTATTAACAGCAGTGCTTCCTAAGGCCCACTTGACTTAAAGATTGGATACACAGGATTAAAAATAGGATTAGCCAAGGAAAGAGTTAAAAGTATTTGAGTTAAATACTAGTAACTGAATTTATTATCTCTTAATGCTTTCTTAATATATAACCTTGCATTTCTAAAAACTGTAGTAAAATAGCAACAATGAACTGGAGACTATAACTATTTTGTATAGTGACAAGGACCATCATAATCAAAATTTCAATTCAGTAGTCAGATTAGCCTATTTGTAACTCAAAACATTAAGGAACAACTAAGTTCATCACCAAATTCACATTTTTTTTCTTAATTTCCATACTGTCATTTCATCACTTCAGTAGATTACTAATCAGTGATTAATAATTCTATGAAAATATAACATTGCTGATGTATCAGGCTAATTGTGCTCAATTTTGGCTAAGTTTTAAATATTCATTTAAACAAATTTGTAAGAAGTCTAGAGGAGGAAGAATGACATGATGAATATATTCAACAGAAATAAAAATGCGGCATTACACTTGATTTTTTTAAGATGGGAAGTTGAAACTGAAAGATTGCTCAAAGCCTTGGAAGCTTACACTATAATTTTAGAAAGCTGTATATTTATTGGAATAGAAACTTGATTAAATGTAGGTTTCTTAATTTTAAATTTAATGGTTAAAAATTCACTTGTTTCATACAGATAAGTTAATTTTCCTGACTAGGAAAGCTAAATCCATGTGAATAGAGATTTTAAAAACGTACAGCTATGTATTCCCAGATCATAAATAGGGTTAACATACTAAATGATAAGATTATGAATTGCCAGTGCCATTATATTTATACAGTCAGAGTCTAGCAATATCGATCTTCAATTTGTTACTCACAGGATAAAACACGCCGACTGTGGTAGGAATAGAGTATGGAACCGAACTCAAGAATGGATCCTTATAGCCCCACAATAGTTCTTTCAGAGTTCTCTTTTGAAACATAAAAGAGTTTGAGTTTTTGATAAATACATTGAGTATTATCTGAACAAATGTGCTTGGATAGAGATGGGGTGTAGCCTATAAAAAAAAAAAGCACTGTATAAGACACCAGTTACAGTATTTATTTTTTACAAGAGATGGATAAATAGTACATCTAAGTTTAATAAAACTTTTAATTGTATCTCTAAAATTACTGCCAAATCTTTGGAAGATTAAAAGTGTAATGTTTCTATTACATTTCTGTCTTGGTGTGAGCCACGGGAAGAAGACTTTCAGTTAAATCCTACTTTTTAAAATGATACACTTTTTTTTTCTTTTTTTAAAATTTATTTTTATTAGTTGGAGGCTAATTACTTTACAGTATTGTAGTGTCAAGTGTGAAACAGATCTCCAGCCCAGGTTGGATGCATGAGACAAGTGCTCAGGGCTGGTGCACTGGTAAAATGATACACTTTAAATGGTCTTCTCAATTCAGTTGATTACTCTATGATCTTGTCATATTTCCGAATGATTGTAATTCAGAAAGTCATGAGAATACATTTTCATCAAAATTGCAAATGCTATCTGATGATCATTCTAATCATGAAATTAATTACAGAGGATTCTAAAGTATTACACAATCAATAATTTTGTTGTCTACTCACTGCCACAGCCAGGTTGAGAACAGTGAATGTGTCATTCTCTGTTCCAACTGATAGCGAGGGTTCAAAGATGGCACCTTTGGGCCGTAGGAAAGAGATTGTGTGGGTCTTAGAGTCTTGGGTTATAATATCCTTGGCTAGATAGCGGACTCTGAAAAACAGAAGTAAAAAAAGTTCAGAAAAAAGATTGTCACAAATGCCATTCATTGATGCAGTAAATAATTTTTTTGAGTATGTAGATGCTCAGAAATTAGGCTAAACAACTAAGTTAAAAAGATATATATACCAAATGCTGAGTCTTGCAAATTAGAGAAGGTCAGGGAGAGCTGTCTTAGTTGTGCATGGCAGGGAAGAAAGAATGTGTGATATCATAGGGATTTACATAGATTCTGTGCGAAAACACAGAAGAGGTACAAGCCCAGGCTAGGGGTGGTTATGGTGGGCATAATGGACAGGATACGATTCCACATAAGCGGGCTGAGGAACAAACAGAAGTGTAGTTAAGCAAAATAGTGTCAAAAATAGCATGTATAAGAATTAAGAACATGATGTAATTTTGCATATGCAGATGTTTCAATATATTTGGTTTACAGAGTCAGAGTAAGGAGAGTGGTGGAAATAAAATTAACTAAAGTAAACAAGATCTCAAACATAAAAGGTGTACCTCATACTCAAATGTTTAGTTTTTTATCCTGAGGTTCAGGAGGAGACAGTAGAGAAGTTGAAGGAAGGGACAGTAAGAGCACATTTCCTTATTAGATAGTCTGTTCACTATGAACAGACTTTCCTGTACCGACTTTTTCATAATTTCCAGCATTTTAATGAAAATTAAAGATGCCTAGTGGAATATAATTTCCACTTTACAGGTCAGTTTCCCTCCGTCCCTTCCTCATATAGTGTATACTTATTAGTTCTGAGCTCCTGGCTTTCACATCCCTAGGCAAAGTACTAACCACTTTTTTAGGAATGTGGTGAAGGGTTATTATGGAAACAAAATCTTTCGCAATTACAAGGTGTTTACTGAGATGAAATAAGGTATACATTACACTATCCTATATTTGATTGTCTATTATTTGAGGTTAAAATAGGTTATCTATTATTATCTAAGATAAAGACTGAAAAAAAATCATGGGAAAGAAATGTTTAAAATACAACAAATAAAAAAATCACACATTTCAATCAGGTATAATAAAAATGTAAAATTCATGTAGGGTAGGTATTATGAGTGTTTTTTATCCCCAACCGCAGTGCCTGGTACTTGGTAAGTTTTCAACAAAAACTTTTTGAACAAACAATTAGTGTTTCACATTATCTCAAAAAAGAATTCAGAAAAGATAGAAATATATTTTATGTTAATATAATTTCTTCAAGGTTTTATCATTTACTTTTCTCTGAGTCCTGCAGACATGCAAAGAATATAAAAATCTGAAACAGCATCCAGGACAATTTATCATCAGTCAATTACTGTTTTCTCTTAGATAGTTGTATTTTAAACTTAGATTATCTATTATTAACATTTAAAATTAAAGTGCTCTAATTTTCAGGAATATTTATGTGTTTATAATAATTGACACTAAAACAACTGTGACCAAATTCTAATTTTACTTAGTTGTACTTACAACACTGTACCAGTATATGGCACTCACTAAGAGAAAAATCCTTTAAACTGAGGCCTGTGTTTAGAATGTATTTTTAGAAAGAGAGCATAATCGCTCAATTTTTGGTTTAAAAATTAGAATACAGGGAATTCCCTGCAAGTCCTTTGGTTAGCACTTAGCAATTCTACTGCAGGGGAGCACAGGTTTGATCCCTAGTCAGGGAACTAAAATCCTAATCCTTGGCTAAGTTTAGTCTCTTTTCTTACTTTCATAGAAAAGTCAGAGTCTTGTAATTTAGATAGGAGAAAATGTACACAGAAATTTTAGAATTACCAGTTCCTAGGTCTGTGTGAACATGGTAGATTATTTCACAGCTCTTGGAATGAGTTTTTTGAATTTACAGGATGAAACTTTCTGGCAAATTATTTCCCAGTAGTGCTGATACCTAAGATTCTTTTCAAAAGTGTGTTAAGTGTTAAGGCATGCAAAATAAAGGTACAGCTTAGTCAGTCTCAGTACTGGACAAAATGAGACTACTAACTGAATAAAAGTACCCTTAAGACCTGGAAAATAGTTTGAATAGAAATCCTTAGCAAGTATTGTAGTTATGTAAAATCAGTTTAATGCTGTGATTCTCAAATTTGAGTATGTATTGAAATCCCCAGAATTTTTGTCAAACTCATTACTAGGCTCAAAACCAAGTATATCTGATACATTTGGTCTAAGGTGAGGCCTGAGAATTTGCATTTCTATCTAGTTCCCAGGTGATGTTGATATTGCTGGTCCAGAAACCACATTTTGAAAACCATTTATATAACTTAAATTTTAAGTTTTAGGATTTTAAAATACTCTGGTTTTTAAGTTTTCAATAGTTTTTTAAAATTTAGCTTGCATATTTTAGAGCTGTTTTTTAATTTTCTATTTTATTTTTTAATATTTATTTTATAGAGGAGTATAATTGATTAACAATGTGCTAGTTTCAGTTTTACAGCAGTGATTCAGTTATATATGTACACACACACACACATATATATATAATATATACACGTCTATACGTATCTATTCTTTTTTCAAATTCCTTCCCCATGTAGGTTATTACATAATGTTCAGCCGAGTTACCTGTGCTATATGGTAGGTCATTGTTTGTTATCTATTTTAAATATAGCAATGTGGATAGGTTGGGAGTTTGGAATTGACCTGCAGACACTGCTAGAGTTGAGAACAAAAGCCACAAGGGTAAAACACTAGTAACTTCTTAAATATACATATGTTAATTGATGTGGGTAAATTCATAATAAAATCTGTATTTCTTATACTCATTAAATCCTTAGATTAGGATTTTATTAGTACATTGGCAGAAACAAATATTTCAGTGTATGTTAGTGGCAAGAAAGTCATAAATACATTTCAATACAGTGACATTTGTCAAGTGGAAGCTTTTTCAGAAATACATGTATTCAAGGAAAGAGTGCCACATATTCGGGGGACTCACCTGTACGTGTAAGGACCTCTTTGCTTAACTTTAATTTTGCTGCTGTTAACTGCAACTTCCTCTGGATTCTGCACATCAAATATCCAAAATTGTCTGTAAACGTTTGCACCTGCTTTAACCCAATTTTTAAAAGCAATTGTACCTTCTTCAAGGACAGATTCCTGTGAAAAAGAAAACAAGTTTGGGTTACTTCTTTGTAGGCAATAAGGGCTCTTGTGGGAGTTGCAGACCTTTATCAGTCAGTGAAAGGACTAAGCTCAAACACCTTGCATATGAGAACCTCTGGGACCTGCCACATGAAACAGAAATGTTTCCAACACACTATGGTTGGCAGTCTCTTTTAGTCGATCTTTTACAAAGAATCAGTGTGTAATATTATACACATGTCTGATGATTGGAAGGCCAACCACTGGCAAGGTTTAGAGTGACCTTATTTCAATACTGCAATAGTTTGTAACAATTTATTAAGCGAATTTTATTAAACCTTTTCCAAAAAGTTCTTACCAGGTTGAACATTAACTTTCCTGCCCTCAGCAAGTTGAACCGAGGAGACAAAACAGAACTGAGAGAAAAATCTAGTGTTACTGGAAGTATTTTCATTTTTCATGCTGTCACAATCGTTTTACATTGTGTACATTGGAGCTGCTACAGCAAGTGAGACCCTGTTATGTTTTACAACCAGTTTTCCTTGAAAAATGCTCAATTGTATCTTGACATCTTATTTCTATAGTAAGCCCAAAATAAAGACAAAAATTTTTTTCTTTTTTTTAAGACAAAATTATGTATAGAAAAAATATTATGGCTTGTTTAATAAGTAAAGGTGTTGTGAGGATGTTGAAGATGAAATCAGTCCCAAAGAAGAATTAGATGTTACTTCCAATTTCAAGGAAGTACATGGACATATACATTATTATTTTCACATTGTAAGAACCTTAAAGACTAATAACAGTTGTTTGTCATGTAACCCCAAGGCACATATCTTATTAGATGTTCTTAATTAAAGGAACTTCTAAGTAGTTATAGAATTGAAAAAGAATTCTGATAGAATATACCTGGCAGGACAGAAAATTTATTCATTCTAATACTTATACATTTAATATCAAAACACAGTATAAACATATCATGTTTTTCTTCTAAAGGCTATGAATCATTTTGCCTTAATAGTTCATTTGTAGATTGTTTTTCAACTGGGAAAGTAGAAATACAAAACTGAAATGAATGCATTGAATTATCAGATGTTAGAGTTAGGGTCACCTAATCCCATCCATTTTTTTAGGGTTCTATAGAAAACACATACCTGATTCAATGCTGTATGACAACTTAGTAGTAGATAATGGAGAATGCAAAGAATGGAGGAAAACAATAGAGTGGAAAAGGCTAGAGATGTCTTAAAGAAAACAAGAAATACCAAGGGAACATTTCATGCAATGATGGGCACAATAAAGGACAGATTTGGTATGGATCTAACAGAAGCAGAAGATATTAACAAGAGGTGGCAAGAATACACAGAAAAACTATTCGATAAAGATCTTAATGACCCAGATAACCACGATGATTATCTAGAGCCAGACATCCTAGAGTGCTAAATCAAGTGGGCCTTAAGAAACACCACTATGAAAAAAGCTAGTGAAGGTGATGGAATTTCAGTTGAGCTATTTCAGATTCTAAAAGATGATTCTGTGAAAGTGCTGCACTCAAACCAGAAAATTTGGAAAGCTCAGCAGTGGCCATAGGACATAAAAAGTTACATTTTCATTCCAATCCCAAAGAAAGGCAATGTCAAAAAATGTTCAAACTACTGCACAGTTGCACTCATCTCACATGCTAGCAAAATAATGCTCAATTCTCCAAGCTAGGCTTCAACAGTACATGAACTGAGAATTTCCAGATGTTCAAGCTGGATTTAGGAAAGGCAGAGGAACTAGAGATCAAATTGCCAACATCCGTTGGATCATCGAAAAAGCAAGAGTTCCAAAAAAACATCTACTTTATTGGTCTTTATCTTTCTGTCTTACTTCACTCTGTATAATGGGCTCCAGTTTATTGACTATGCCAAAGCCTTTGACTGTGTGGATCACAACAAACGGTGGAAAATCCTTAAAGAGATGAGGATACCAGACCACCTTCTGTGCCTCCTGAGAAACCTGTGTGTGTGTCAAGAAGCAACGGTTAGAAGCAGACACGGAGCAACAGAACTGTTCCAAATCGGGAAAGGAAAGGAGTACGTCAAGACTGTGTATTGTCACCCTGCTTATATAACTTCTATGCAGAGTACATTATGTGAAGTGCCAGGCTGGATGAAGCACAAGCTGGAATTAAGATTTCCAGGAGAAATAATAATCTCAGATATGTAGATAACACTGACCCTTATCACAGAAAGTAAAGAGGAATTAAAGAGCTTCTTGATGAAAGTGAAAGAGGAGAGTGAAAAAGCTGGCTTAAAATTCAGCATTCAAGAAACTAAGATCAGGGCATCTGGTCCCATCACTTCATGGCAAATAGATGGGGAGACAATGGAAACAGTGAGAGATTTTATTTTCTTGGGCTCCAAAATCACTTCAAATGTTGACTGCAGCCATGAAATTTAATGATGCTTGCTCCTTGGAAGAAAAGCTATGACAAACATAGACAACATATTAAGAAGCAGAGACATTACTTTGGCAGCAAAGGTCTGTCTAGTCAAAGCTGTGGTTTTTCCAGTAGTCATGTATGGATGTGAGAATTGGACCATAAAGAAGGTTGAATGTGAAAGAATTGATGCTTTTGAACTGCGGTGTTGGAGAAGACTCTTGAGAGTCCCTTGGACCTCAAGGACATCAAACCAGTCAATCCTAAAAGAAATCAGTCCTGAAGATTCATTGGAAGGACTGATGCTGAAGCTCCAATACTTTGGCCATTGATGCAAAGAACTGACCCCTTGAAAAAGACCCTGATGCTGGGAATGATTGAAGGCATGAGGAGAAGGGGATGACAGAAGACAGATGGTTAGAGGGCATCACCGACTCAATGGAAGTGAGTCTGAGCAAGCTCCGGGAGTTGGTGATGAACAGGGAAGCCTGGAGTGCTGCAGTTGATGAGGTCCCAAAGAGACAGACACGACTGAGTGATTGAACTAGATGGAGAATCAGATCTTCCACTCCAGTGTTGAGTTGTTTCCACCAGTAAACTTTGACTACTACTATTATACAAATCATGTCCACCCTTTAGAGGGGAGACCTCTAATCTTATTTACTTTTTTAGATTGCTTTAACTACTTTGTTCTTAGCATTACTGTATAAACCAATTATGTGGCAATAACCGTGTAAAATTATATCAGTTCTTTCCTTGCTGTTTTATCATTTTATGTTTATTCTCCATCCAGTGAAATTAAAGCTTCTTAAAGAGGAGAAATATACTGATAATACTTTTCATCTCCTCTCCTCAGTACCAAAATATTCTGTTTGCGATCACTTGCAAGCAGTTTCCATGTTCAGAAAATTTTCTTACATGTGTATGCATTATGAACATGTATGTGTGTTCATGCTGAGAGAAAGAAATCCTTAATTCCTTTTTTGTGTTCTGTAATTAATATCATAGGGAAATTTAAAAATTATGTAAAGTTACTTTTGTTATACAATAGTCACTAAACATCTATCAAATGATATGAACAATGTCAAGGTAATGAATTATCCTTCATAAAAACTGGCAAATTTTTCTTTTTTTCTAAAGTCTTTGACAGTTTCTGCTTTCCACATTCATGGCAACTCTTACCATTGACTTTTAGTTTATCTGACAAGATTATATAAGCCTGCTGTCTCCACATAAATTTGCTAGGAATCATAGTATAAAATATTGTTAGAAAAAAGTTTCTACCATGCAGTCCTTAAAAAGTTGCTTAGAAGTAAAGAGTATATACATATACACATGTATATATATGTGTATATATATATATACATGTGTATATATATATATGTGTATATATATACACATATATATATAAAATATTTATATATAAATTAATCAATTGTTTTAGGCCATTTCAAATGCTAGAGTCAGGGTGTCATCTTTTAGAATTGAAAGGTATCATAGAGTCCCAGATCTATACTTTAAAAGTTAGATAACATCACGAGATGATTTTCTGATCTGTTAAAATTAGGTACTTTAATTCTACTTCCTTTTTTTAAAATGCTGTTTGTATGCAGATAATAACTTTCCAATTTGATATTAGTCCATTAAATGAAGCTAGTAATGGTAATGATTTCAGTGGTAAACAAAAACTGACCAGCACTAAAACTTGTATATATTTGTAAAATAAACAGCATTAAACTCAGTGCCCTTGAGGCAGCGGTAAGGCACTTGGCTCACTGTGGTGGTGATGGTTTAGTTGCCAAGTCATGTCCAACCCTTGTGACCCCATTGGCTCTGGTCCTCCAGACTCCTCTGTGCATGGGATTTCCCAGACAAGAATACTGGAGAAGGTAGCCATTTCCTTCTTCAGGGATCTTCCTGACCCAGGGATCAAGCCCATGTCTCCAGAATTACAGGTGGATTCTTTACTGCTGGGTTTACATAAAATTCAGAAATGCAACTCCTACTGTTGGCCAGTTTCTCTGACCTTTTGTTTCTACGTTCAGACTCTCTAGAGAGCAAATCTACTGTTCAGTTTTATATGTAATCTCTATAATAATGATAAAATCTGTCTGAGCACCGACCTTTAAAATACATACTGATGTTCATATCAAATTACTTGTAAAACCTCTGTCTTTTATTCTTCCAGGGAATACATTTCCTTCAGTAACTCAACTGGATATCTTACAGTTTGCATTTTTTACTCCTCTCTCTCCCTATTTAATCCTTTTGTTCCAGTGCATCCCATCACCCATCAGTTCTGTGTATTCTACCACACTAGACCAGAGTGCCTTATGTTAATACAGACTGAGCAGTAATCTTTCTAAAAGGGAGTCTTAAATGGCATGAAAAAGAGCCACAAAAACAAGCCATGTGGAGGCTAAATAATATGCTTCTTAACGACTAATGGATCTCAGGAAATATAAAGTCACCTGAAGACAAATGAAAATGAAAACATGACAATTCAAAACTTAAAGGATGCAGCAAAGCAGTTCTAACAGAAATGTATAGCTATACAGGTTTACATCAGGAAACAAACAAACAAAAAAATCTGTTAAGCAACCTAACCAGACACCTAAAGGAATTAGAAAGAGAGGAAAAAACAAAACCCAAAGATAGCAGAAGGAAAGATATCATAAAGATAAGAGCAGAAATAAATGAAATAGATGCTAAAAAAAAACCCAATGAAACTAAAAACTAGCTCTTGAAAACAATAATTAAAAATGATAAGCCTTTAGCTAGACTCATCAGAAAAAAAGAGAAATGACCCAAATTAATAAAATCAGAAATGAAAAAGAAGTTACAACCAGCACCACAGAAATACCCAAAATCGTAAGAGACTACTATGAACAACTATATACCAATAAAATGGATAATCTAGACTAAAAAATGGAAAAATTCTTAGAAAGATACATTCTCCCAAGACTGAGCCAGGAAGAAATAGGAAATATTAACAGACCAATTACCAATAATGAAATTAAATCAGTAATTAAAAAACTCGCAACAAAATTTGAGGATCAGATGCCTTTACAGGTGAACTCTACTAAACATTTAGAAAATAATTGAAACCTATCCTTCTCATACTATTCCAAAAAATTGCAGAGGAAGGAATACTTCCAAACTCATTCTATGAGGCCAGCATCACCCTAATCCCAGAACTAGACAAATATATTATGGAAAAAGGAAATTGAAGGCTGGTATCTCTGACGAACACAAATAATAAATGTTGGTGAGGATGTAGAGAAAAGGGAACCCTCATACATTGTTGGTGAGAATGTAAATTGATTCAGCAAGGGTGGAGGTGTCCACAAAATCTAAATAAAGAACTCTATATGACCCAGCATTTCCATTCCTGGATATGCATTCAAGAAAAACAAAAACACTAATTTGAAAAGATGCATGCTCCCCTATGGTCATAGTTGCATTATTTACAGTTGCCAAAGTATAGAAGCATCCTACATGTCCACCAATAGATGAATGGATAAAGAAGATTTGGTATATACACACAGTGGAATATTACTCAGACATAGAGAAAGAATGAAATTTTGCCAATTGAAGCAACATGGATGAATGTGGATGGCATTATGCTAAGTGAAAATAATCAGACAGAGAAAAACAAATACTGTACAGTATTAGGAAAAGTAAAAGCGTTTGTCACAAGTCATGTCTGATTCGCAACTCTATGGACTGTCGCCCACAAGGCTCCTCTGTCCATAGAATTTTCCAGGCGAGAATACTAGAGTGGGTTGCCATTCCCTTCTCCAGAGTGTCTTCCCAACCCAGGGATCAAACCCTGGTCTCCTGCATTGCAGCCAAATTCTTTACCATCTGACCACCATGGAAGCTCGTGATAGTGCTTATAGTGGAATCTAAAAAAATACAGCAAACTAATGAGTAAAACAGAAAAGAAACAGATTCGTGGATATAGAGAACAGAGTGGTTACCAGTGAGGAGAGAAGTTGGGGCAACATAAAAATAGGAGAAAATGTTTATTATGGAATTATATGAAATCATGTATGTGAAACTTTTGAAAATTTTAAAGTACTGAAGAATTTAAAGAATATTTCTTTCAATAAAAATGGTATATATGTGTACAAAAAATAATATGAACATAATCTTTGGACATAATTAAAAGCTGCTAGTTCTACTTACCTGCATACCTATAATAGTTTTTTTTAATCAGAAATTGGATATTTAGATTTAAGATGACAGTGCATTAGTATAGAATATAAATCATACTATGACCATTTCTCTATAACAAAGAGTTTCAGTGGTTTATTATGTTGGAGACCAAAAATTGCCAGTTCAAGTGAAATAAAAAAGAGTCACCCTAAGCAAAATGGGCATAAAAATGGAATGAATCAAAATGACAAGAAATATTCTTGATAGTACTTGTACCTTTTTAACTGTTTTCTCAATAAGCATGTCTCCAACTGGCATTAGAATCCCTCCGAACAGAGCCACAACTGCACCAATGACAGCACCAGTGATGAGCCCACAGTTTCGATTGCAGCCCATTTTTCTTATAGGGGAATTCTAAGAAGAATGAGTAGATTCTGTTGTAACAAAGAATATATTATTTTAATATTTGAAAACATGTTCATCTGAGATGTTTTGGTTGCAACAGTGTTTTTCAAAATGGGGTTGACCTAACATTGATAAATGGAATGTGTTTTGTAGCTTATAAACAAAATTTCCCTACTTCAAAATGCCGTGACAAAGGAAAATAAAAATGCCAACAGAATGAATGCTACAGACAAAAAAAACAAAAAAATTTTTTTTTCAATCTTGTGAGGATAATAAAAATTATAATGTGTAATGATCTCAGGTTTTCCCTACCTAGCTTTGTTGTGGTAGAAATACCACTATGATGATTTTATTACTATTTCTGTCCACTTGAAGAACCATTTAGTTTTTTTAAAGAATTAATTGCATAGGTAAGGAAATAAGAAAAATCAGACTCTCCCAAAAATGTAGAAAGACAAAATTATAAGCAATTTTTCACGGCAATTTATTTATTTTTTATCCATTATGATTTCCCTCGCCTGTGCTTAATACCTAAGATTCTTCCACTGTATATTAGGATGAACAAACAGATTCACATTAAGGTCCTGATGAAATGTATATCATCATTAGTGTCACATGATTTTTCCAATGTAAACAAACACCACACAAGATTAAACAAATGATTCATTTTTCCTGTGGAATTTTATGTGTTCCTAGGCAAGTAGAGTGGGTTTTTTTATTAATTTCTTAGGGATGGAGTGTTACCTTTTATGGCTTTGGCCAGGGTGGTCATAATACAATGAAACAAGTTATGTAAACCTGATAATAATGACTAGATAATTCTCAGGTAGAATCCCCTTTGCTAAGTATAATTGTACATCCCCTCACAGTTTTCATGGAATCATAAAATTAGTCAATATTAATGTCCTTTGCGACTCTGACAGATGGAATATGAATTGTTTTAAACATTACTGAACTACTGTTTCTAAAACGGTATATATATGAATATTTGCCTGTTTTTGGGCTATATCTGTCATAGTCGAGAATATACAAGACCTATCCCTGAATCATTTCCCTTTATTCAAGCAGCCCCATGGACTACAGGGAAGGGTCCCAAGAACGTCCACTGGATGATCCAGGGAGCACCGGGGTCTTCAGTGTCTTCCTCTCAAAACCTGAAAACTCATTATTATGACTTTCAAGGACCCTGAGCCCAGAGATAGCAAGTCATGGGCAGACTGGGTGCTGCCTAGGTTCTGTCTGCTTTGACCTAAAATTGAAGTGAAATAGTTCACACAGCCTACTGCTGATGAGTCAAGTGCAAGAAAACAGTCAGTAATATATTCTGTTGAGTTTCATGGTTAGACAGTTACTAGTCTAACACTGGTCTCGATCATATAAACAAAGGAAGAAGTTTTGCTGCAACATTCCTGCATACATGTACTGAAAGGTGAGATTGAATTTATCTACTTTTTCAAATTTTGAGCTCCCTCACTCACTTCTGTTACCTTGATATAAATTTACATTTTTTTAAAGAGTAGACAAGATATTTCGCATGAGTTTTGTCCTGCTCTATCAGCAGCTTTGGTCTCTATGGTTTCACTCACCCACAGTCAAACAAGGTCAACTGAGTGTAGTGAAACCACAGAATAACGGGGAGTTCTACTTACGGCTTGGTGCTATCTGTGATTTCAGCCACACGGTGAAGGTGTTAGAAGGTATCTGCCCACACCTGTGGAGAAAAGAGGGACTGCTGTACTTGTGTTCATTTATTATGCTTCAGTATCTTGTCACCATGAGGGAATGTTGCCATTCTAATCGTACTTTAACCTTATACTTCATACAACAAAATTCCAAATAGAGTTGACCCTTGAACAACACAGAAGGGTTACAGACATGGACCCTGTACACAGTGGAAAATCCCTGTCTAACAAACACTGTAGCCCTTCTTATCTGTGGCTCTGCATCCATGGATCCAGCCAGCTACATATTGTGGATCAGGTAGTACTGTGATATTTACTGAAAAACTTCTGTGTAAAAGTACACCCACAAAGTTTAAACCTGCTATGTTCAAGGGTTACCTGTAGTTTTATTCACCTGCAGCAAAAGAGGGACAAACACATTATGCAAGACGTACACTGAGTACATAAGAGAAAAGTTCAGGTTACTCAGCACATTCTACTCAGCTGCTTTTCCACTAATGTTTATGTTCAAAAAGCAGTGTTGTTTCTATCTACTCTTCTCTCAAATGCAGCTATGTAGAGCATATAATATTTATGCCTTATATGATTGGTTGTCTTAATAATGTAGCTTCTTACATATTGAAATTTGTTTTACCTGCTAACTTTAAGTTTTGTTCATCATTGTTATTTCTTTGTCATAAGAAACAGTAAGATATAGACACCTGTAGCAATTTATTGCTTGCTTAAAGTGCTTAAATTTAGGAAATGAAGAATAATCACAGGTTTAGGAAAGAAAACTAATTATTGGGACTTAGGTCAGGAAGGAAATGGCAACACACTCCAGTATTCTCCCTTGGAGAATCCATGGACAGTGGAGCCTGGAGGGTTACAGCCCATGGGGTCGCAGAAGTCGGACACGACTTAGCGACTAAACCACCACCACCAGGTCAAGAAGAGAAAATAAAAAGGCAGATTTGATTTAAAAGGTATCACTATCTTATACCTTTCTTGAGTCTGTAGGGAGATTAGCTCTACCATTTCAGAGATTATACATTTTATTCCTTTTGTAGAATTCACGAGTATATCTACATGTGGACTATCTTTGAAAGAACTGAGTTTCTCTGGTTTTTCTTTTCTATCAAATCAGTGGAGTGTTTCTGGAATGAACTTACGAGCATTATGCCTTTCCTCTGTGTTAGAAATCTGGTGGCAGAAACTGAGACTGAGCTATAAGAAGTTTCTCCAATGAATAGGTCAGAATATTAGAGAAAGTTGCCTGAAAATCTGTAATAACTCAGATATGTGGATAGTGCTTTGTTCCTTGGGAAATGCCACCAAGGAAAACCTTGAAGTGAGTGTTAGTCGCTCAGTCATGTCCAACTCTTTGTGACCCAATGGTCTGTTCATGGGCTTCTCCAGGCAAGGATACTGGAAGATCCCCTTCTCCAGGGATCTTTCCAACCCAGAGATCAAACCTGGGTCTCCTGCATTGCAGGCACATTCTTTACCATCTGAGCTACCAGGGAAGCCCAAGAAAAGTCTTGGCCAGAGGTAAAATTTCCTGAGTTGTGAACTACAATACTTTAAAACAATTTCGGGTTACAAAAGTCATACTTGTGCCATCAATGAATGCCAGGACCTAGATGACCCAGTTTTAGAGTTTTGGTTATGATTACTGTAACAGCAAGTGGAATATGAATGATGAAAGTTGCTTTTCACACTCTTACATGATTTCTAGGTGTGTTTACAAAGCTATGATTCCCTAGCCATGAATAAGATGTAGATAGATTCACATCCAGCTAGTTAAATCAGTCATTTAAATCTTGTGTTCCATCATGTGGAAACACAAAGTCTTTAGACTAATACTTATTTTACACACAATCCCAGTATACAAAGATAATTAAAAGAAAAGCTATTCTGGTCAAAGTATGGACTCTGAGTCATCCCCAAAGAACCGAAGGGCTCTGTGGAAAATGTTTAAATATTTAGGTTAGGGGATCTCCAACACCTTTTCTCACTGAAATTACCAAAAACCTTCCAATTTACTTGTGCATTTCCATCCTATCAGAATATATGGAGCTAAAATATATAATAGAAAAAAAAACATAGACATAAAATAATACACTTCACTAAATGATACCTCTCACATATTAGAACTTACAACTGTTTTGGTGACAGTCTTTAAAAATTAAAACAATAAATGCATTGGACTTCATGTAGTATACTAAAGATTCTTCTAGAAACAATCTTATCTTTTAGAGTACTTTTGGAATACTTGATTACTAGGACTGCTATAAGCTTGAAATGATTCACTTAGATTCATATTGGTTTAAACAGAACTGTCTGAAGCCATTTTTGATGTATCCAAGATGAAAATACTATTATCTTTTTTTTTCTACCTCAAGTTTTACTGTAAGTTGTAAGATACTGTACAGTCTGCAGGAATTATACTGATTCTGGGTTTTGAAGTCAAGTAATTTAGGTCAATTCTGAGTTTTAATATTATACAGTTTCTCTGTGGCTCAGTTTTCTCTAACTGGATATGATATAGATCATGTAAGCTTTCAAATGTCAGTTTAGCTCAGTTGTGTCCGACTCTTTGTGACCCCATGGATTGCAGCACGCCAGGCTTCCCTGTCCATCACCAACTCCTGGAGCTTACTCAAACTCATGTCCATTGAGCCCATTGATACTATCCAAACATCTTAGCCTCTGCCATCCCCTTTTCCTCCCACCTTCAATCTTTCCCAGCATCAGGGTCTTTTCAAATTTCAAATGTCGAATCAGATTAAATGAGATAAAAATTCCTGTCACACCACATTATTTTTATTTCAAATGTTATTATGATGTATTTTTTTAAACAATCATAACAGTAAAATATTATTGCATATTGACCAAGTATGTTTTTTTTAAATCTAATAAACATAGTTTACACAAGTAGGAATGATTATTTGCAAAACACTTGAGACTACCATAAAATCTGATGAGATGATTTGTCCTTTATATATACAGAAACTAAGACTATCATGCAAATAAAATTGCAGCTTCTAGTTTAGAACAGTGCTCTTTGAAACTTTCAGGTATGACTTGGGCCAGTGAACCCAAAAAAAAGAAAAACACCTTGTGATTAAATCAGAAAATAGAGAACCAATTCCTTCAGGACCAAAGAATCCACGATTCAAATATATTTGAATTAACTTCAAGGTAAATAACAAATTTTTCAGTACACTCTGTTCTAATACCTCTCTGGTTATAATTTTGAGATCCTCCCAGGTTAATCTTGGAGAAGGCAATGGCATCCCACTCCAGTACTCTTGTCTGGAAAATCCC